TTTTAGAATTTGGTGAAGTCATATTTGGTAAAGTCATATTATATACAGTAGATACTACTGATTGCTTTAAAGCTACAGTTAGAGGATCAATGTATATAATGGTGCGTTTAAGCTCAATTTTGAAGGCAGAATGAGCGATTTGAAACGCACATCGTAAACGCTCATCGTAATCGCAGTTCCACGGTGTACTGTTTTTGCTCACTTCTCTGGCTCCTCCAGGCAATTCTCGCTGGGTGGCCTTAATTGGCCTTGCAGCTGGATTCGCAAACCTGCACTGTGCATGCTACGTAGACCCACTAGAGGCCAGTGCGTTGACCCCATTTAAACGTGTTTACAAATTGTAAACGCACCTTTTTGTGATTTTACGATCGGTGATCGTGATCGCTGTTTTTCAGTGATTCTACAAAAGTGAGAAAGGACGCAACCGTGCTTTGAACTAAACGCGTAAAAGATGCCTGATTCTGGCCAGAAAAAGTTGAGCATAAACATACCCTAACAGTCATAACTTTATGACCATGCATGTGGATACATTATATTGCAGATATAACAATACCACTCATATGTTGTGAACCAGAATGGTATTAACTTATATCACCATTCAGCAGACATTGTTCTCGATTGAAAAAGATAGGTATATTGTGTGTGTACCTTGTGGTAATAAAAAGATGCGTAACCTTTGAGTTTCCAACATGAATGTATTCTAGAGGCCTTCATACAAATTTAATGAGGCTCGCATTACGTCTGCTCATAGCTTTATCTTTGTACAAGACTACAAGTCATAACAATTCTCTCATCACAATATTTGTAACAGTCAGAAGGGTGTTGACTCTTTGCACAATAATTTGGGTGAATAAACGCATCTCATGCTCTCAGCTCTCAGCAGATCATTTACAGCACAAATGACAAACAATTAGACCTGAAATTTTATGAATTTTTAGAGAATATTTGAGGCCCATTCGACTGTAAAACCCAGATCAGCTTGAAATTGTACACAAAAGCCTACATACTATCAAACCTTTTGAAGAAATACGATTAGATCAGTTTGTCTTTGTTTTTTTCCTACCATTGGGAATGCTGTCCCGGTGAGCTCAGTAATTTCATTATTTCCAGTAAACTACTATCAGTGTACTGCCAATCAAATTAGGACCGTCGTTCCGAGTGTCACCCCTGCTTCCCTTACAGTCGCAGAGCAACTATTTGTCAGTAATTATAGAAGTCCCAATGTCAAATGGACAAACCACAATTCATCAAACGTTGCTAACTTGATTGGGTCCAGATTTATAGGGTAGAGTAGCAACCATCTTCCCTCTCTCTCCCTGCCCATACTTAAAATCTCCTGGTGGTAACGGTAAGGGCAATCAGGGTGGAATATACAGCTAGACATGTTAATTTATATCTTTATTTATGTTCTACTTATTTTTTTAGTTGTTTATCTCTCTAAACACTTTGTTTTTCGTTGTTTGGTGATGTAATAACTGTGCTAATTGTAATATCATCTGCTATGTAATTACCAGAAGGATGGTATCTTGCCTAAATAAAGTAAACATCATTATAGCCCTCTGCAGATTATAGGCATGTGCAAGTAAGTCCATGATCAGACACTCATAAATCATTTAGCTCATGTAAGAACCTGTGTTTTGTCTCTTGTATTCATAATATTGATACAGAATCAATAATCAGCTGTCTTTTCTGTTGCTGTAAACATACCCTCACCCTTTCCATCTCCCCCCTTTCTCTCTCTCTCTCTCTCTCTCTGTCCCTCTTCTTTCTCTCCCTCTTCTTTCTCTCCCCTCTTCTCCATCCCTCTCTCTTTCTCTCCCTTTATCTTTCTCCTTTTCCTCTCTCTCTCCCTCCTTTTTCTCTTTCTCTTTCTCTCTCTCTCTCTCTCTCTTTCTCTCTCTTTCTCCCCTCTCCTTCTCCCCTCTCCTTCACTCTCTCTCTCTCTCTCCCTCTCTGCCATATACACACACTCTTTCTCTCTTCCTCCACCTCACCCCTCCTATCCCCTCCCCCCTTCTCTCTCTCTCTCTCTCTCTCTCTCTCTCTCTCTCTCTCTCTCTTCAGACAAACATATAAATCTCTCCACCCCAATCTCCAATCACTTTCTCTTATCCACCCATAATCATTACTCTAAGCTTTACAAACACAATTAGCATGCTTTACTACATCATGAGGACATACCCCCAGGGGTCATTCGGCCCTGACCTCATAAGGTCATAAATAGTATAGTCTTTACTCCAGACCTCTGTGTAGCTGAGATTGTATGGTGTCTTTTAATTTGTAGGAACAAGGCATTTTTCTTTCTTGATAGCCAGAAAGAAAATCTTTTTATCATTTTGATATTTGTATCATCATGGCTTTTCTTCCTTTAACTCTTTCTTCAGAGAATTTTTTTTTTTAATGATACTGGGCCTGGGGTCGATTCATCGTTGGGTAGTTATTCTCTGAGAGTATTTTGTAAATAGTTTTATATATTCCATATTTGTTGTTGTATTCATGAATCAGTTATCTTTGTCACATCATATGAGGGGGCCTTAACTTAACAAGCTGTGCTTCAACCAAGGTCTCCTCGTCTTCCTTTATTCTACATTGTACTGTTATGATTACAATTCGATATCAACAAAGTCAGGACGGACGCATACGCTTACTCATTCTTCCCAAGGACAGTTACGGATTGGAACAGTCTTCTCCCTCAATTGTAGCCCAACCTTCCTTAAATACTTGAAATCTGCGCTTAAAACTGACCTAAAACCAGCACCTTAAGTTGGTGGCCGCACACAACGACACACCTCCAGTTTAAACACCTTTACTGCGTCTTTTGGAGGAATCCTACCAAGTACCAAGTACTCTATTATATTTTGTCACATGTGTTTTCTGGAAGACAAATAAACTTGATACTTGATTCACCTCTATTAATTAATACATGTAGCTATGCAATTTATAAAAATGAAAACAGTATAAATTTACAAGGAAAGAGAACATAGTTGCATTTTTGTCTTGAGTCTTTCTATTCTTATAACAATATTCCTCATTGGGTTTTCTTTTTGTTCTGGCTTGTTGAAAATAATGTACGATGTGTGTAACTTAAATGCTCACAATAAGAAAAACTTTTTTTATTCTGAAAGTAAAACACTAAAACATTTCTTTGTGCTATGATTTGTTTTAAAAGTAGTAAGTCATACTCTGGTGACAATAGCAGTTACTTTTCTACACTTACTGAATTCTTAGCTTCAACCTGAAAAAAGCGTATAACTATCCATTACCTTTACCCTAAACTTAAAACAAGAATACAACCCTTTGGCCCGAATTCACAAAGGAGGTTTAAATTTAACCCATGGTTCAAACCCTTGTTTTCATTAACCTATGGTTTAAAAATTAGCGCATATTAAGCATACCCTGCCTTGTGCTCCTCTAATATTGCTTGACTGTGTTGCGCTTATTTTGCGCTAATTTTAAACCATGGGTTATGTAAATGAGGATTTAAACCATGGGTTAACTCTAAACCTCCTTTGTGAATTCGGGCCTATTCGGGAATTCGCTTGAGCAAATGCTGCAGCTTCTGTGAGTGCATACAACACCAATGACAAATCATCATCACCTAGGTGTGGTAATTGAGACTGTCATAATGATGACAAAATGCATCATATTTTTATTGAAAACAAAAAATTACAAACCTGTTTGTCTGAAATTCACTGCAGATTTGGCAGGAATTTGAAAACTGTTGAAAAACAAAATAATTTCAATCTGTGGCAACCAGGTGATCTAAATTATATTTTACCTCTGTTCTAACTTATCACATCATCTTAATGAAGCAAACTTTACAGCAGTTCATTAGTGGATCAATCTTGCTCACAGGAAAGCAAATTTATTTGACAGATATTATGTATACAGAGCTTGCAAATTACATGTATGTTTTTTGGCTTGGCTGTCAATCCTTACAATTTTTGTTAAAAGAAAAACTTGGCAGTGACATTAGCTGTAAATTAGAGCTCCCATAAGAGGCTTTTTTTGTAGAATAACTACCATTTTCTTTAGTAATTTTTTTTTATATTTTTTTTTTAAATGTTGCATTTTATAGAAATGTGAAGCACATAATGCTTCACCCCCTCCCCCCTCCCCCACCACCTACACATACATACACTTGTGAATGGTACATAATTATGTGTATGAGGGGAGAAATCTTTCATTTAGTGTACACTACATTTTATACAATATGAATTTTTATTAGGTGTGAATGCTTGCCAATTTGATTTTGTTTAAAAAATACTGTGAAGAATATAAAAAGGCTGGAAGTACCATAAATGATGCCCTTTTTAAAGGGTGAGCACAGCTTTGTTGCTTATTAAATACCGGTTGTCTGGATGGTTAGACATGTCTTGCTGTCATAAATATATATGTTGGTCAAACAATCAGCTAAGTAGTTAAAAACAAGTTCACAATCTATAAATATCCTCCCAATATTCCACTATCTTGTAATGAGACATTCTAATTGCCAATTTATGCATTTAAGTTGCAATTAACCATGTCAAGGACCATGGTAGGGCCCATATCTTTGCCCCCACCTGTGCATGCAGGTCTTTCAAATAAGACACTGTAAACCACAGCAACAAAGGTCCTGCGCATATTCACTCAGCTCTAGCTGTGTTAGAAGATACAGAAAGGTGGAGCATATTAAACCTTCCGTCTTACAAAACTTAGTTTTAGCTCACCACATTTGAAGAAGGCTTTAGTTAATCAAAAGGAAAAACAGCTTATGGGTTTGACTTAGCTGAACAAAGGTTGTTTCCTTATTTGGCTTTATAGGAACCACAACAAGACAAAACATTAAATGAACAATTGTTTTGAGGTGTTTATTGAGGAATAAGGGCTCTTATTAGTCTTAATTGGTACTGGTAGGATAATCTGTAGTTACATTGTAGTTTGGGAGCTTTTGTATCCTGAATAAAAGTAAAGATATCAGATCAAAGACATGGGTCTACAGTAGCTAAGCCGGCCTACAGATCATACTAAGGAATAATAACCTAAGCAGTGCATACATGTGCAGGTTCAAGACGGAGCTTGCTTACAAGTGCACAACACTACGCAGCTACGCTATACTGCTGTATACACACCCCCCTTTAAACCCACACACACAAACAAAGCCTGTATGCAAAGCGAGCGAAGGAGGGACCTATGTTACTGCATAGCGGCAGAGCTGGCAGTGTTTGGGTCATTTCTTTACGAAGAGACAGAAGACGAGTGAGTGTGTGCTGTCGTGCATAGAGAGGCCTAGATTCATATGCATCCAGCTACGTAGCTAGCGTGCACAGTGCATTCAGGGTAGAACGAGAGAAAGTATTTGGGAAGGAAGTGGCAAATAGCGGTTCATGTTCATGGCCAAACTTTCTACATGGTGTATACACAGATGCTCTATCCATCCCGTGCATGGCTAGTGCAGCTAGCTATACGTCTTCATTGCACACTAGCTCTATAGCTAGCTAAACCCTGCCTGCGGTATGGAGAAGGGTTTGGATTCATAGAAAGTAACCTGCTGTTGTTTGTAGCTCATTCAAGCCTTGTGAATTTTGTGGATATATCTAAGCTGCCTGCTTCTTTGTGCTGAAATGGAACTGTGATTTCTCTTCCTGTCTTAATTAGAAACTTCCCTCATACCAACATGGAGGAGATCAGCCAAACCAATATGGAATTGTAAGTTATCGTCCTGTAATACTGCATGCTGCACTCTCGTACTATTATTCAAATATCAATGCTCTTTTATTCCTCAGAGTCTCCTGTAAAACCCTGATGCGCGGAGGGGATCTGTTTAGAATAATAATTCTCATGTAAATTGCAAGTTTCATTGTTCATGCTCAGCTCAGTCATGTTGAACTGGCAAGTTATTCAGTTATTCAGTTTTGGATAATTATGACAGGCTTGCATTTATTCTCTTCATGCACAGAGACCAGTGTTTTCAATCACTGTCTTATCACATATCACATATATATTGGCATGATTTTGTTGGTCTTTCCCCAAGTGAAACTTGGAAAAGATGATGATGTGTGGCTTAAAAATATCCATTCGTACATACTACATGTCAGCCTGTTATGATCATGATTATACATGTAGATGAAGCATGGCACAAATTAGGCTACGGCTGACAAACAATATTTTTATAAGAATCTCCCCATATTGGTTATTATTGTTCTTCTTATATATGTGGTATTTCAAAGATAATACAATTAAAACATGAGAGATAATGTTATTTATGTTTACTCTACATTTAGGGGTCTGGATGTATCATTTCAGTTTAGTATTTCATATTTATTTTATATTATTTATATTATTTATTATTCTATTCATATTACCATAAGCAATACCAATAAGAATTAGATTTGTTTCTTGTAAAAAAATGCATATTACAATATCAAGCCATGAAAGTAATAATAATACAGTTGAAATAACATAAATTATAATACAATTGACTGAAATTAAACAAATATATTTGTAGTTAAATACGGGGAATCTAGTACAAAAGCTAAGCTTGTTAATTGTTGATTCTCTTGTATCTATATATAAGAGCAGTCTGTTAAGCATGTATATGGATTTATAGGCTTTTAAGTTGCACTATTATAGTCGTACCATTATAGTAGTATCATTATAGTAGTATCATTATAGTCGTATCATTATAGTCGTACCATTATAGTAGTATCATTATAGTCATACATGTACATGTCATACTTTTTTCTTTAAAATAGCACTAGTGAGAAAAAAAATCATCTTTCTTTCTTTGTAAGGAAAAATTGACTTTATTTTATGTGATAAAAATATATTTGATTTATCTTCTTCTTCTTCTTCTTTGGTGTAGTCTGCTTCCTTCAATCTTGAAGATTCGTGCAGAACGATGATTCTTATCCACCCTTTGTACTTTGTAGATTATCTGTCTCATGTACATGTAAATGCATGGACAGGGTACTTTGTTTGTAAGGAGGGTTAGGTGTTTGTTGGGTCAGAAAGATCACCTCTTTAAGGCATCTTGGAATGAATAGTGAATCAGTGATGCATGCACACATAAACAGTCAAGCTAGCTAGCTGAGTTTCTTCTTTGTTGTGGGTTTCTGCAGACTTTGGTAAAAGGACATTGTATTCTGTTCCATATTTAGGGTGTGTGGACAATGCGCGGCTCCCCCTCAGTGTTATGTATGCGTATGCATGTTCCAAGGCAGTTGTTCTTTTGTCATCGGTATTGTGTAGCCCTGGTCCATAAGAACATAAACCCACTGGGTGCCTGTACCTCCTTGTAGAACAGTGTTATATGCAGCTACTGTCCAATGGCAATGGCAATCACCTGTTTTTGTTTGTTTGGGGGTGGGGGGGGGGTGCTGGTGGTGGTGTTAGCATTTCTTAGAGTCTAGATGATGCATTGGAAACTGCTCCCTACATCATTCTAAGTTGTTTGTGTATAGCCTTGATCTATACAAAATATATTGATAAATATATTCTAATGTGCTTATATGTTTATATTTTTCTCACATGGAAAAAATTGTACTTTGCAAAACACAGAGATTACTCTTGAAATCTAGTCTTCTAGTCTTCCTCTTACAAATAAAATGTCGTCATTTTATAAGGCATTGTCTTTTCTTTGATTACCTAAAAACATAAAAACATGGGTTCAAATCCCACCGCTGCCACCAGCGTGTATTACATGTATCTGTTCCCTGTAGTTTTGTTGTATTTATTTGTAAGAAGTATGAAATCTACCTGCTTTGCAATTTCCACTGGTCAGGCTTTTAAAAAATTCTTCTGGCCCCTAAGGTATGAATGACAAATTAAGAATAAGTTCCTCAGAACAGCAACATTGGAGTATTACTTTGTAATCCAATGACTACTGAATTCTGTACAGGGATCACACCTCACTCCTGTATCAAGTGTAAGGTGGGCATTTCTTTTAAAGCAAGCAGTTTTTCTAGCACTCATTCTCCCAGGAGAACTTGCATGCAGATATTGCAGTCATGTGGAAATATATCTATTAATCTTCTGTTGTAACACGTTCTGATACATGCATTCAATCCAAAGAGTATGTGTACATCAATAGTCAATAGTCCTTTGCTGTCCATCAAGTGCTTACAAAACACAGCAATATTTGTTGGTCTACAGTATGTCTTGTCAGCTGTTCAAAGTCTGTTAATAATCTAATCAATTAGACTTGATTTGGTGTGTTGACATACACTGATTCTCACCATACATAATACAATTTACATAACAAAGCACATATTTAGTTTTCTGTAAAAGAAGTTCACCATGTGCAATGGACTGTAAAATGATGACATTTGTTGTTTCTCACAGTGTTACATGTATAAGTGGGTCGTAGTTGTTCTCACTCAATACAGGTTTATGTCACAATGCAATTGATGGATTTTGTTGTGATTTTGACATATGTTCAGACATCACTATTTATTGTATGGTTATAAAGAGACTGTAGCTTTAACAGTAAACATTGTTCTAGCTATTTTAAACACCATACCAATTTTGAGAAGAACATTGGAAGGTTTCCTTCAAAATACTAGGTTTTGAAGATTCAGTATTTGTGTCAGTAAACAAATATATTCATTTAATAGCAAGTGATTCTGTCAAGATTCTGTCGAGAGAATGTCAAGAAAGTCTGGACGCTTGACGGCAGGATCACGGCTGTCAATGCGAACGGCAAGAAGATCTCCATCACAAGCCTCGCTGATATTGACTCCAAACTGTAAGCTTATTTCGTTGGTTTGAAAACTCAATGAAACTGATTTTTTATGCCTCTAAGATATCCTTGTCTTTCTTGTGCAAAAACAGTCAGAAATAATCAGAATGCTGTTAAATGTGTAGTTTGTAATAGTTGGATTCATCTTTCATGTTCTTGTTTAGGTCTGGATTTTTTCAATTCTAGTCAAGACTGGATTTGTAGTAAGTGTATTTTTTCTGAATTGCCTTTTAATTTTCAATCTCAAGATAGCTGTGGAGAAAAAGATAGTAATATTCATTCCGTATTGTCTGATGTTCAGTCAAACCCAGTAGTTAGTGATTGCCTTCATAATAATCATGATAATCTAGTTCCAGCTAAGCTCAAAGAGTTATTTACAAAGGGTACGAAAATGGTACAATTAAATGTTAGAAGTTTATTGCGAAATGTTAATGAATTAAGAATCTTATTCAACAAATATCCAACTTGGTTGGACGATTCCATTATGAACAGTGAAATAGATATTGATAATTACAAAATCGTTCGTAAAGACAGAAATCGGCACGGAGGGGGTGTCGCTGTGTATATACATGATTGCATTGATTTTGAAGTTTTAAATCATGAATCTTTACATAATTTGGAAGCTATAGCAATCCTCGTTCGAAATAAATTTTCTCACCCCTATGTCTTTATTACTTGGTATCGTCCTCCCAATAGTTACTCTGAGCTTTTTTGTCATTATGAATCGTTGTTGTCTTTTATTGACAGTTTTAATCATAGTACGGTCATTATGGGCGATTTTAATTGTGATATTCTAAAGACCCCTTTACATAGTGAAACTAAGAGATTGATGCAAATACATGATATTTATTCTCTTGAGAACATAAATGTCACAACTAGCACCCGTGTTACTGATACCTCATCTAGCCTAATAGATCTGATGGTTACTAACAGGATTGATCAAATTAAGTTATCTGGTGTTATCAATATTGGATTAAGTGACCATTCACTGAATTATGTTGTTTGGGGACTACCTTGTACTCACCATGTTCCTCGTACTATAACGTATAGAAAAATGAAAGGTATTGATATTGTAAATTTTTGTGAGCAGCTTGATAATCAACCCTGGGAGAATGTTTACTTAGCTCATGATATTGATGAAGCAGTTGAGTTGTGGGAGAATTACTTGATGGAAGTTGTCAATACTATTATGCCCTCTAAATCCAGAAGAATCAAAAATAAAATTTCTCCATGGATGACTTCTGAAATCATGAATTTGATAAAGGAACGTGATAAAGCCAAAAGAAAAGTACGGAAAAGCAAAAATAACGATGCTATGAATTGTTATCGTAAGTTAAGAAATAAAGTAACTTTTGAAATAAGAAAAACTAAAAGACAATATTATGTTAATAAACTGTCCTCTGCTATGGGGAGATCTACTGAGGTCTGGAAGGTTTTGAAGACTGTTTTGCCAACATCTCGTACTAATAGCACTGAAGCCCATGTAAATGATTCTGATATGAGAGCTAATGAGTTTAATCTATTTTTTTCTTCTATCGGTGCAGAGTTAGCCTCTAATTTTCATGATCCTCCACATTCAATAAATGATGATGAAGTTCGTGTTAAGAATGATGCTAAGTTTACGTTTCATTTAGTCACTGAAAATGATGTTCGAAAAGAACTAATGAAATTGAAAGATAATACTTCTGTGGGCTTAGATGGGATTTCTTCCAAAATTTTGAAAATGTGTGCTCCTATTATTGTTCCATATCTTACTCACATAATTAATAGATCATTCCTCGAGTATAAGTTTCCAAATCAATGGAAGAGGTCAAAAGTCATTCCCATTCATAAATCTGGCAACAAAAATTCCCCAAATAACTTTCGTCCTATCTCAATACTACCTACGGTATCAAAATTGCTGGAAAGATTTGTTCAGCGGCAATTAGTTTCCTTTTTAGAAGAAAACAAACTTTTATCAGCAGAACAA